GGGGCCTTGGAGCAGCCAGAGGAGGCAAGCGAGGGGGAGAGGGAAAAAAAGAGCCCAGCCAAGCGCCGGCGATGGAAGAACTTACCGCTTTTGTTTCCAAGTCGTTTGATCAGAAAGTGAAAGAGAAAAAGGAGCTCATCACGTACCGGGAGGTTCTGGAGAGCGGACCTGTCAGGGGAGTCAAGGAGTCCGGAGGCTCCTGCGAGCCCGGCCGGGAAGACAGCAGCAGCCCGGCGACCCGGGTGGCAGGAGGAGGAGGAGGGGGCGGCGGCGGCGAAGGCCGTAGCAGCAGCAGCAGCACCACCACCAGCAGCAGCAGTGACGGATGTCTATAGAGGTGGTTGTGTGGGGGGGTTGCGAAATCCCAAGGACAAGGGGGCCTCTGGGCATGTGCTGAGCGCCCGCAGAGAACCACGCCCTCTCCTCTCAAGCCACGCCCCCTGTCAAAGTTTTCTAGGAACTTGGATTTCCTCTCCCCTTTTTGGTTTGGAAGAGTCCGAGGCCCGATTCGGGTCCACTGGAGTAGACCCTACTGACTCTGAGGAGCCGGACGGGACCCTCTGGATCATGGAATCCGGGGCCTGTCAAGGAAACACCCGGGTGGGGGTGGGGGGGATTGAACTCCCAAAGCCTCTGGCTCTGAAGCTGGGGACCTCGACCCTTGAGCTCTCCAGCACTTCATCATCATCATCTCAGGACGTCAGAACTGGAAGGGACCCTCTGGATCATGGAGATCAGCCCCTGTCAAGGAAGAACCGGGGGGGGGAACTCAAGGGACTCAAACTCCCAACCCACTGAGCTGTCCAGCAATTCATTGAGGGTCCGCGTCTCTGTGTAAACTGGGACTCAGGAGGCTGGATTTAGGCCAAGTGGATTAGCTCCCAAGACGGGAAGCGTTGGCTTGGGGTGGAGTGAGATTGTGGGGCCTTATGTAGTTCATTATGATTTACGGGGGGGGGGAATCTAGCTCGGCCATGGGGAGGGTGTGACCCTTTTATCAAATAAGGTTGAACTCCCACTCCCATCAGCCTTGGTCATCATAAGCCATTGTCGGGGACGATGGAAAGAGTGGACAGACCAGCTTGGCAAGTCTTCCTCACTCCTGACCTAGATTTTGAGAGGTATCGGTGTATGTAAAGGTCATCATCCCACAGCACTTTTTTTTTTAAAAAGAACTGCTTCCAAGTCGCGAAGTTGCCCTTCTCTCTCCCCCCCACCCACCCTGTCCTGCCTGGAGCTTTTCTTTGCAATTGCACCCATTACTTGTCACTTTTTAACTTGAGATTTTCCTTCCACTGGATTTCTAGCGGGTTTGGCCTTTATGCGTCATCGCTGTGTCATCAATCAGCAGAAACCTGGCGTGGTTTATGGAGAGCCAGCCATTTAAACCAGCCCCATAGAAGTCCGTGCTGTCATATGAGTGGAGCTGAAACTCCAGGCTTCGGTATTCTTAGTGGGACTCAGCATGTCCACATGTCCTGTGCAAGATTTGGGTGGTTTGGTTCCAGCCTTGAGCCCTTTTGCAGGTGAATCCTGCCTCCCGGTTTCGGCAGATGTTTTTTTCCAAAGTTTCAGTGCTCGAACGCTGTGCCCTTTCAGTCTGTAGCAGAGGAGAGTGTAACACAAGGAAACGAATGGAATTTGTACCAAGGTGCTAACGAGGAAACAGGATCGGGCTGTCTCAGGAGCATGTGGGCTGGTAGATTTATGAGCCATGCCTGCCTTAGGCAAGCTGACCCGTCTGGGGCATGCCAGCAGAAGGAGAGGCTGGCCTTGTAGAAAACGCTTCAAGGCCTGCCGGAAGTTGGAAACCACTGAGTGGCGTGTTATTAGGAGTAGCAGCAATTGTGGTAGTCTTGGAAATCGCAGTTGGTTTGGTACAGTACTTCTGTGGCGGAACTGTGCCAGAAACCAGCAGAAATGGCACGTGGTTTATTGAGATCCAGCCATTAAAACCACCCCATGGAAATCCACCCTGTAGCGTTGCTGGGAATGAAACTCCCGTTTTACATCTGGGTTCTGTTTTGGCAAAGGTGGGACTTGCTCCTGAGTAGGATCTGACCCAGTTAGGGGTTCCCAGCCCTTAGGGTCCCAGCCTCAATATCGGAGACGAACAGTTAAAATACATATTGTGTATGGCAGGAAAGACGTAGTAGGGTGTTTGTGCTTATTATTATTATTTAGTTATTTTATTTACATCCCGCCTATCTAGTCAATTAAGACCACTCTAGGTGGCTTATGTGTGTACGTGCGTGCGTGTGTGTGTGTGTGTGTGTGTGTGTGTGTGTGTGTACACAGTATATATATATATAAAATATATATCTCAGTATGTACAGTATTCAACATGTTCACTGTCTTCTTCAGGTGTCTGAGGTAAACATGCCTGCGAACTCTAAAAAAAGGACAATAAATTAATTTGTTGTTTAGTTGTTACGTCGTGTCCGACTCTTTGTGACCCCATGGACCAAAGCACACCAGGCCCTCCTGTCTTCCCCTGCCTCCCGGGGCTGGACTCCATGTTCCAGATGTAAATTAATTAGTCTTAAGTAAATTAATTAGGCTTGTAGGGCTGCCTGTTATTTTACAATTTTTCTTAGGCAGTAATATAACAGAGCTATAACCACTGTCTGTTTTTTGTGCTTAGTTTCATTTGAGAGTCTTATCGAAACCGTTCAGGGGAGGCGGCTGTGTTTTCATTCTCCCCTCCCCTTCTTTTTCTTGGAAAAATACAGGAAACGTCTATTTTAGAAGAATACCACATTAACTGGACCCAGAAGCTGGGAGGTGGAATCAGTGGTCCAGTCAGGTAAGGGTGGTGGTGGTGGTTTTTATATGGACTGGTGACTAAATGATACTGATGCTGAGACTGAGGTAGGAGGATACGATGTAGGAAAGAAAGATGCGCAGATGGCCACCCACGGGGGGGGCAAGCCCACCTGAGTCTCACTTGGGGGGGTGCTTGAGGCCTGATGCCACCCAAGTAACCCGTCCTCTTTTCCTCAAGAGGGACGCAACCCTGTCCAGAGTGACCCGAACGGTTTTTATACTCTAGATTCTCCCTGCATTGAAAAGGAGCCTGTACAAGAAAGGGGGGGGGATTGTTAATGTGCAGAGAATCACCGGCACCTTCACAATGGGTCTGCAAGTACCGTACAGGATGCGATGGGTAGTTTCTGACGATGTCCACGATTCCCACCAGGCTGAGGGCATGGCAGCCGTGAAATTTTCCATCCCCTACACTGGATTGCCAAAGCACAGAGATGTTCCCTCGAATACTGTGTCTAAAAGCCAAGGCGGAAATGAATGAAGGGGTAGATTAGTGAGGACGTCTGCTGTGTATTCTATTTTGCATTGGGGAGATTAAGTGATGCATGCCTTTGTTAAGTCAGTAACTGTGTTTACACCTTCTGCTGCTCTCTGGACAGAGTCTGTATGAAAAAATCGACTCAAGAACGGTTTGCGCTGAAAATCCTTCTCGATCGCCCCAAAGCGAGAAATGAGGTATTGTGCATTCCCCCCCCCCCGCAAAACGTTTTATATACTTGCTTCATCTTCCCTTTATGGTGCGTCTTTCGGACTAAACGCCGGTGTGGTTTGCAAAGAGCTGGTTTTGTATCTCTCGTAATTTATGGCCTTCCTTTCTTATTTGCTGCCGAATCGCTTCCAGCTTACGGCGATAGGGTTTTCTCCTAAAAGATGAACCACTTTCATTTGGCACATTTCTTCCGTGGGGGGTGGCGCGGACCCCCAGGATGGGGAAGAAATATATGCATGTATTTTGCTAGGAGGGGCTGATGCTCAGGAATGGAAGCCAAGTATTCTTCTGTTCTCTGTTAGGTCCGATTGCACATGATGTGCGCGACACACCCCAATATCGTTCAGATCATTGAAGTCTACGCAAATAGTGTGCAGTTCCCTCATGAATCCAGTCCGAGGTGAGGACGCACGGGGTGGTTTCGTTTCCAAGAGGGGCTTTCCGCACCTTCGGACCAAGATGTTTGGAATTTGTTAAAACTGTCTTTTCTCCAAAGCAAATAACTTAATTGGGCTCACTCTGTCTTCCTACAGAGGTAGAAACTCACCCCAAACACATCTACCGTTCCCCCCCCCCAAAAAAATCCATGGCTTTTCTTTAGATGTTGGAAATAGCATTTCCAAAGTAGAGGCCTCCGGCGGAAATGTATGGATTCCTTGTCTTGAATCTCTAAACTCCTGGTCCGCCCAACGGCCAAGCTTTTATTTTTTTGCCTTCGTCAGCAATTCCTCTGACTTCCTGGGTTTGAAGTGTGTGGAAGTGGCCTGCAGTTTTCTAACTGACTTTTCTTTTTCCTTTTTCCTTCTCTTCCCCCCCTCCCCTCACTCCACACATCCAATTGGAATGCAAGTGTGTGGAAGTGGCCTGCAGTTTTCTAATTGACTTTTCTTTCCTTTTTCCTTCTCTTCCCCCCTCCCCTCGCTCCACACAACCAATTGGAATGCCTTTGAAACAGGGCTCGGCTCCTCATTGTCATGGAAATGATGGAAGGAGGGGAGCTGTTTCACAGGATCAGCCAACATCGGCACTTTACTGAGAAGCAAGCCAGCCAAGTGACAAAGCAGGCAAGTCTAGCCTCGTCTGGTTTGCGCACGGAGTGGCCTCCTTTAAGGTTGGACCCTTCATATGACTCTCGATTTCTCGGCACTGTTTTTCAGCCGTCGGGAACGAAGCCATGTTTTTTATTAAAGTCGGGATCCGTTTGTGAATCAAGCAGGGGAGAGGGTGCTTGGCCCCCAAAATGCTCAGATAGTCTGTTAAACTTTGCTTTTAACAAAATAGATACTTCTGCTAGTGCTGAGCTCGGTGGGTTGGTTACCTGGCTGCTGCCGAGCCAGAGGTTGGGGGTTCAATTCCTCCCCTGGGCCTCCTGGAGGAAAAGCAGCCTAGGTGGCTTTGGGCCGGCTGCACAGGAGTCCCAGGGATCCCACCCAGAAGAAGGGAAGGGGAAAGCCACTTCTGAGTCTTCTCCACCTGGAAGACCCTGGAAACGGCCATCATAAACGAGAATCAACTTTATAGCACATCAGTATTATTGCTGTCATTAGTGCTGGACACGCATAGTGATAATGCTTGAAATTGTCTTGATTTTACTCTCATCTTCCAACGGTCTTAATCTTTTCCATGCGTTGGGATTTAAAGGCCTTGACTCCAGCAGAGCCGTAGCCGGTTTTCTAGCTCCCAAGTGGCCGTTTACTCTGCCGAATAGATCGGCGGTGCCTCGGGCTGTTCATTCGCCCTCTTAGCAGGGAGCGAGGAGGAAGAAAAACTTCTGGAGCTCAACTTTCCTGGTTTAATTCGCGCACGTAACAGCAGGAGCGTTGAGCAGCATGTAATCACTTAAGTCCGTCAGAGCCGAGGCTCTTTGGCGATGCCAGACCGCTGCTGAAAATCTACTTTTATTTAGCGGGATTAGCGGTTTGCTTGTGGAAGCCGAGGGTGATGGGCAGGATGGTGTTTTTCTGGATGGTGTGCTCAAACCCCCTTTTCTCCTGTTCTTTTGTGGCCACTTGGCAATGCATCCTCATTCCCCCGCTGGAGTTCTGAGCGCTTCCTTTTCCCCTCGCTTCCTCTCTACGGGAATGCCAAAAATTGGTTTGTTTGCGGTCGCCAGAAGCTTAGTGAATGCCTCACGCACGTTATCCAGCTTAAACCCCCCGGTGTGGGTATAAAAGAGGGAACGGATCACTTTTCCCGAGGTCACAAGCTGGAGGTTTCTTATATCACAAGCCTGCTTCCCGTCCACCCCATCCAAAGCAGCCCTGGCTGAGTTCAGGCCCTGCGCGACTCTCTTTTAGGGGAACAACCATATCCCATATTGGAAACTCTTGGGACGACAGGGAAAAAAAGGTGTCACTTTATAGAAGAAAAGGGGGGCAGAAGCAGTAGCTCTGTAGCAGAAGCTTGTCTCCAGCCAGCGTCTCTCTCTCTGCCCCACAGAGGAAGCCACCCCTTTCTCCATTTTGGCCTTCCACCCTGTCTTTGGAACGGTTTCCTCTTGAGCGTGTGGGGCTGGATGTGTGTTTCAGAGTCCTCAAGAAGGCTGACTGTGTTTACTTCCCTGCTTTTTCTGTTCCAGTAAATAGTCACAGGCAATGTGGGGCTGCTGGTCAGGCAGAGTTGAGGGATCTTAGATGTAGACGAATTGGGGTTGCTTCAGAGTTGTTGTTGTTTAAAAACAACAACAACAGGGTCCTTTGAATGCTGGATCCCGAAACGTGCCGGACTGTAACTTCCATAATCCCAGTTAAGAGAGCTTAGCTTCCCCCATTTTTGATGTTCCAAGCTCTCTGTTTGTCGCACGAAAAACAATAGAGTTCGTTCTGTGGCTTTTTGAAGGCCGAACGGCTTTCTTGGAAGTAAATGGCTGTGCCATATAGGGCTCCTTTTCCGGCCTCTGAAAAAGCGGGCTGCAATTTAGATTCCCCCCCCCCCAAATCAAATGAAATCCTTTCGTCTTTTTGGTGTCAGAAGGCTCTCAATCCGTTGTGGCAATTTGGGAAGGCCAGACGGCCATGTGCCCAACCCCAACCCTGACTCCCTCGTGCTCCTTTCCAGATCGCTTTGGCCTTGCAGCACTGTCATTCTCTCAACATCGCCCATCGTGACCTCAAGCCTGAAAACCTCCTTTTCAAAGACAATTCTTTGGTAAGATGGCGAATTTCCCCTCATTCTGGGTCTTCCTAATTCCGCCACGCTCGGGGGTTGGGACAGGCCAGAACGCGACGTTCTGTCTCCAGCGTTTTATCTTGGCTTCTCTCCTCCAAAACCCCAATCTCTGACCCCTTCCAGCCAAGCACATATTTTATTTAAATTCAATTGGATCCAGTTTAATTGATATGCCGCCCATCTAGCCAGAGGCCTCTCTGGGCGCTTTACGACGTGGCAGCTTTTTCCAACCCTCCACCCTCTATGAATCCCCCTCCTCCATTTTTTCCCCCTTTCCTTGGCCCTTTCTTCGGCTAACCTCTCCGGTTTCTCTGGCTGCCTCTCTCAAAGGATGCCCCGGTGAAGCTCTGTGACTTTGGGTTTGCCAAGGTGGACCAGGGAGACCTGATGACGCCGCAGTTCACTCCGTACTACGTGGCTCCACAGGTACGGGACGCGTCGTGGCCAGCCCTCCCCTCCCCTGTGTTCGTCTTGAAGAGCGGAAGGCGCCCAGTGACTCCTGAGGATCAGTCGGGGGCCCTGATTGAGTGTCTCGTACCAACAGGGCCGGCTGGCTTGGCCTCCTGGTCTTGCCAAAGCTGGAACCTTCCCCCCCTGCCCTGCCCCTATGGTTTGCTGGCTTTTACATACCGTCTGAGAAGGGTCTTTGGGCGTTCAGGTCTCAAAATTGCCCCAGTGTCGCTTTCCTCCCTCCCTTGCAGGTCCTAGAGGCACAACGGCGGCATCAGAAAGAGAAATCTGGGATTATCCCTACCTCACCAACGCCCTATACGTATAACAAGGTATATTTCTCCACCTGAGAAGACGCTAAACCGGCTGGCGTCTCACGCGGCCCCTCAGCAGGCGTTCCCGAGGCTGGACCTTTTGTGGGAGAAGGAGGTGCCTAAAGATGGCCCGGAGCGTTCATTTTGGTCACGGTTTACCTTTCTAAAAGCACGGGGGGGGGGTCTAGTCACCAGGGCCGAAGGAGCACCTGTGAGAGAGGTGTGTCTACAGGACAGCTTTTGTGGTTTCCAGTCAGAGGCCCAGAACAGGCCAGATTCTCACGTCCCGATCTGTCTTTCTCCTGCAGCCCTCCCACTGCCTCCTAGTAGGCACTTTTAAACAAAGAAAGGAAGAAACATCTCCCATTCCCGTCTCCCAAGGTTAACAAAGGGCCCTGGTGAACCCGCCATACATAGAAATGCAAGCAGGAGACCCCAGTTTTTTTCCGCCACATCGCGGTAGAGTTTCTATCTTAAAAAAAAACCTAGAAAAGCTGACTTTGGCCAGTGTGGATCACAGTGAATGAGATGGAGCTGTGATATGGCTTCGAGGCCAGGCAGCTTCTCAGGGCCCTATGGATGCCTTTTTCATCTGTGTGTCCCCCCCCCCCGTGCCGTGTTTGCATGGCAGTTCTACAAAAAGCAACGCCTGCATCTAAACAGTTTGCATTCTTTATCTTCTACCTTTTTCTTCAGTGCAGAATATAAGCAGCACATTTTGTTTCTGCTTCAGTCAATATTACTTTTTTTTTTTTGCCTCTCCTCTAGAGCTGTGACCTCTGGTCCCTGGGCGTCATCATTTACGTGATGCTGTGCGGCTACCCACCTTTTTACTCGAAGCACCACAGTCGGACGATCCCCAAGGACATGCGGAAAAAGATCATGACCGGGAGCTTTGAATTTCCGGAAGAAGAGTGGAGCCAAATCTCTGAAATGGCAAAAGACATTGTGCGGAAGTGAGTGGGTCGGAGGGTGGGGGGCCGGGCCACAGGGAGGCCCCCCCTTCTTCCCCTTCTCTCTTGCTCAAAGGAGAGTTGAGTAGAGCTCCCGCTTCCTTGTTGCCTTAGCTAGTCAGGATCATCCCCAGTAATCGGTAAAACATCGGAACCGGGCAGATGGAAGAAATGCAAGGGCATCGAGGTGGGTTTGGGCTGCCTCTGATTATGTTTTTGGAAACCCTCAGGCTACTGAAGGTGAAACCAGAGGAAAGGCTGACCATCGAAGGGGTTCTGGACCACCCCTGGTTGAATTCCACGGAGGCTTTGGATAACATCCTGCCCTCTGCGCAGCTAATGATGGATAAGGTCCTGCCCGTGTTCTTTTCTCTTCTTAAAAGCCTTTGGTCGAAATCAGATTCCTTTCTACTGGGTTAGGCTGTTAGTCTTTGCGGTTTCGTGTCCTTCGCTGTGTGACACACACACCCCCAGCAGCGATCCTGGGACCTCAGGCCGAAAAGGTCTTTAGCCTCACCTGCTTGCTCCTGAACCCTGTTGACTTGGGTGGTGGAGGGATAACCTCCAGAGATTTGGGGGGGGCACACCTACCCGTCCCTGGACTTTAAACAAACACTCTTGGGACCCTCGCCCTCTTTTTTCTCTCCTTACAAAAATTAAAAAAAAAAAAAAAAAGTTAAAAGCCCTCCCCAGCTCCCTCTAGTGGCTGGATTTATATTAATTCAGAAACATTTTTTGGGAAGGTTAAAAAGGCTTCCGGGTGCCCTCTAGAAGTGACAAAAGGATTAAAAAACCCAAATAGTTTTTTCCAAATTTTTTTTTTTTAAACCCACCTTGGTGAGTTGGTGGTCCCTCGCCCCGTTTTTTAAATTGGACGTGCTGGGGATTGAACCCAGGAGCGCTCCTGGTTTTTGCAGCTTTTTGACGGCGGCGTGGCCTCTCTTCCTCCAGGCGATGGTGGCTGGGATCCAGCAGGCGCACGCCGAGCAGCTGGCCAACATGAGGATCCAAGAACTGAAGGTCAACCTCAAGCCCCTTCATTCGGTCAACAACCCCATCCTTCGGAAGAGAAAACTGCTGGGGTAAAGATTTCGGGGATGGGGGGGCTCCTTTGTACACCAAACCGCCTTCACCTGCACCAGAAAGTCGGGACTCTTCGGCTAGAGAGGGGGCGTAAAAGCAAGCAGGGAGAGGAAAAGACAGTTGAAGAGAAGCCATCCCGGTTGTGGAGAAAGGATGGCTTGGAAAACTCTGAATGAGGGGCCCGAAAGCCCGCCTACTCTCTTTCTCGCAGTCCGAATGAAATTTTTAAAGACCATAATTGAGCAAGCACGGGTGAGCTGGGGAGGAGGGGAGCTGCCATCGAAAGAGAAGCACGCCTCCTCTTGGCCCCCCAAGTTGCAGTTTTTAAAGACTGGGAGAAACCTTTCCATTTTGGAAAAATCAAGCCAGTGTGGCTTAGAATGGTGGGACACCAAGGTGGGACAAGATCCATGATTTTTTTTTTTAAAAAAAGATTGCTTTAAACTACATCATGAAAAGAACCCAGTTCAAAAGTGGTTCTTATTGCCAGTGTGACCAAGCCCTGACCTGATTCTATATGTACATCATATGATTGATTTAAATTGTAGGGGAAAATCTGGGTTTGAGTCAATTGGATTTAAATCAGATCCACCCGCCCTCCAAAACCGCCCGCTCCGTGGTGAAAACTGGGCGCCAGAAAGAGTGGGTTGCTGGGATTTGGGAAGGCAAAGGGTCTTGCAGGAGGCAGGGGTTTGCTTTTGTCTCGAGAAAAGACCGGGCCCCGATCCTCCCCTTCCAGTCCAATATCCCACACCAGCCTCTTCCGGGCGAGAGTGGAGACAGGGCAGCCAAGGGAGAGGGGTGTGTGAGCCAACCTTGGAGGCACGATGCTTTTAAAATCGAGGTGCGCAGATTTGGGATTTTAAAAGTCCCAGACCGCCTGCGTGCCTTTTTTCACAGGGCCAAAACTGATATGTTGCTTGCGTTTGTCTTTCCTCCTCCTCCTCCCAGAACGAAGCCTAAAGACAGCATGTACATCCACGATCCTGAGAACAGCAGTGAGGATTCCAACGTCGCTCTGGAGAAGCTCCGGGACGTGATTGCCCAGTGCATCCTCCCGCAGGCTGGTAAAGGTTGCCATTCTAAGACCAGCCACTTTCGGGCGTCGGGGAGGGTGGGGTGGAGGAGGAGAGGGAAGAGGAGAGGCTTTGGGGCTTGGGTTTTAGGGTTCAGCCCCCTCTTTCTCCCCCCCCCCCGGTGGCCGCGTCTCGTCCTTTTTTCAACAACCACGATTTGGGATCACTCCTTCTTTAAACTGGGGATGGGGAGGAGGTGAACTCTTGCTTCTGGAGGGATGTTCTGCTTTAGGGCCTGCCACACTCGGCATGCGTAAAAATATGCCCCCCTCCTGACGAGCAGATTCTCAGGAGTTGCCCATCTCTGCTTAAAAGCCTTGGGAGCGAGAACGGCCTTCTCTTGTGATTGGGAAAGGTTAGGAGCAAACGGGGAAGGCTGGGGCGGGCTTTGCCGTTCTTGATCTCGTTCGGAGTGGACTTCCCAGTCCCTTTTATTTTGGGCTCAAACGGCAGAGCAGCGAGAGAGGGAAACCTAGCACGCTCGCTGGCGCTCCTCCGGAGTGGAGGAGACAAAGCCAGCGCGGTGCTTCCCCCGTTGACCTGCCTGCCCGTTTCCAAGCAGGTGAGAACGAAGACGAAAAGCTGAACGAAGTGATGCAGGAGGCGTGGAAATATAACAGGGAGTGCAAGTTGTTACGAGACACCCTCCAGTCTTTTAGCTGGAACGGTAAGTACATCGTGTGTGTTTGATTCAGGCCTCCTCTCGTGTCCTGCGTCCAGTTCTGGACGCCACGCTTTAAGAAGGATGCTGACAAACTGGAGCAAGTTCAGAGGAGGGTGACAAGGAGGATGATCAGGGGGCTGGAAACCAAGCCCTTTGAGGAAAGGCAGAAAGAACTGGGCCTGTTATAGCCTTGAGAAAAGATGGGGTGGGGGGAAAGGAGAGCCCTTTTCAAAGACTTGAAAGGCTGTCCTACAGAGAAAAGGCAGGATATAGGCTGGTTTTGAACCCAGTATGGTCCCATAAGCCTTGGAGCAGGATAGAAGACATGCACACAGACAGCGTCCCTCCCCTCTTCATGGCTTGCCAGAAGCCCAAGATCCCCTCCTTGCCTAAAGCTTTGTTTGGCATCAAGGAACGTCTCCGTCTTTGATCAGAAACCTTGCCCAGGCATGTCAAGGAAAGACGTTTGGAAGAATTACAAGAGCCAGAGGCTCTTTTAAGCCGGACCGGTTGGATCTGGCATAGGGCTTGCGCGTTTGATGAACTGGGTAGCAGCCTGCAAAAATCTTAACGTCAGATTCAAACTCGCTACTCTGAATGTTGCCTGCTGATTTTGCTGCAACGCTCTTAACCCAGAAACCCCCCTCTGGACATTTGAAAGAATATCCATCTTTTCTGTTTCCTTCTGCTTTTCCTCAGCCTTTTTCTTTTTCCAGCCTTTTTCTTTTTCACCTTTTGTCTTTTAGGTAGGGGCTTCACGGACAAAGTCGACCGGCTAAAACTGGCTGAGATCGTGAAACAAGTCATAGAAGAACAGACCATCTGCCACGATTCTCAGTAGCCGGGAGCGGCTCGTTCTGAACGACGGCAATGGAAATACCCTCAATTTTTTTCTCTCTTTTTTTTTTTAAACCAGACCGTTTGAGAGTTACCCTTTAAACTGTAAAAACTATTTTTATGTAAATTAATAAATCATAATTATTTCATTAAATTTCCACACAGCTTGCAAATGCTGTATAGATGTAGATAACAAGAATCATGGGTACTGTAATATTTTTTTAACGACTCGGTTCACCTATGGGGGGAAAAAATGATTTTTATGTACTGTTTTATTCATGACTCTGTGAAACGGGGCGATTGATTCTTGTGTTCTGTTCCATAACCTGATACTTTAGTCTCTTTCCAACTGCCTGTATCAATGATTAATTGCCTTTATCAACCTTTTTTCCCCTCCCTTTCTCTCTTTTCCCTTCCTCTCAAGCCAGTGGCATCTTAAATCAGCAACGGCTGGTAACCCACAGAACGGTGTGTCATGATGAAGGAAACATCTCTTCCCGTCTCCGAGCTTTTTCGGTTTCTGGCGGTTCCTCTCCTTCTTGGCTTCCCACCGTGGAATATTTTTCAAAAAGTCAAAAAACATCTGGAAAGGGTCGCTTTCCCACCCCTCTTACCTTTTTCTTTCCTTTAAATGATTTCTGTTAACAAAAGTGGGTACCTATTTCTAGTTTTCTAACTCGGAGCAGTTCTTTTTACAGACCGAAAACACTGGGCTGACAGTAGGTTTTTTTTTTTTTAAATAATTGTTTCGGTACCATGGCTCATGTTGTTTCTCGTTTCTACGTTCCCTCCTCCTACGCCGCATCATCCCACTGGTTTCCCGTGTCTCGTTCCTGGTTCTTCCAAACTCCTTTATCCGTAACGCCCCTTCTCTCTATCTCTCTGCATTCAGCCATTCTTGAAAGCTAGAATCCACTTCGTCTCGTGGCTTCTTCTTTGCTTCTTTCCAGCCGTTCTCATTTAACTTATCATTTAACGAGATAGTGAACTTCAAAGCAGCCTTCCTCAACTTAACGATCCTCCAGTGGTGTGGCTGGACGCCGCCTCCCATCATCTCCGGCCAGCATCATGGGAATGATATTACAGCCCATTGAGGTAGCCCTGGTTTGGTAAAAAGCTACTCAAAGCATGTGGGTGCGTCTTCTCTTACAGTAAGCGCCCCTGTGTCCGCAGGATCGTTATCCACAGAGGCACTTATCCCCTGCCTGAAAAGATTAAAGTTTAAAAAATCCCATAAATACCTATTTATACGTATTTCCACAGAGAATTTACAAGAACTGGCCATTCCTTCCTTCCAAAACATTAGCCTAGCAGCAGGTAAACCTCCGCTCAGAAGAACATCGTGAAAAAGGAAAAGTACGTCTTTGGTTCGGTTTTCCCAGAATCTATGAAGTGAAGCGATTTTTAACCAGCTTGTCAGTAATAATCCATCCAAGGTTGGCTGGCAAAGAAGAAGCCTCCCAGCTCTTGTGAAGGTTCTTCCTTCACCCGGTCTTTTTCGAAACTGGTCCATGCCAGAAGCGGCGTTTTCCTTTCTTTCCGAGGTGATTGGCATTCTGGATTCTCAGCTTTTCTTCTGTGCTCGGCCCGTACGGGTACGAGGCCAGCTGACGACAGCCTTTCCTTCCTCTTTTTTTTTGTGGGGCGGGGGGCCCTCACGTGACCTGCCTTTTTAAACTGGGATTCTTATCTGACATGTGGGATCCCTCAAGGTCCTTCCATTGCTTGGACGTTTCGGGGAAAATGGGCTAGGATCCCTAGGATCAGATTTGGGGGCTGAAGGTCCAAGGCTGGTACTTAAATTCCTGGCAAAAGTTTTTAAACTATTTTTAAGCATGCTCTCTCTCTTTTTTTGGTGGGTTTGTTTTTGAATTCCCCCCCCTTTTTTTTCCCTTCTTTTTTTTTACACCTTACTTGGTCTGCTTACCACTTCCATTTTAAAAGAGTTGGAATGACTTAAATACTTGGCAGGCTCTTGCCAGTGCGTTGCGTAGTTCTCGGTAGAGATCTGAAAATGTCTGGAAGCTGGCAGAAGAGGGAGCTGTTATCTCTGGAAATTGGCTGGTCCAGCCCCCCTCCATCTTCCATGGTTCAGCCAAGCCTGGGTGTTGATGCCCGGACTGTCTTTTATTGCCAGCTTTGGAAAAACGCCTAGACAGCTTCGCGATCTTGGTTGTGTGAATGAGGTGAGGCCCTCGAGTTTGTAAGAGTGCTCTGCACGGACACAGGTCCTCTCCATAATAATCTTAGAACGGCCAAGCCTGGGTGTTGATGCCCGGACTGTTTTTTATTGTCAGCTTTGGAAAAACGCCTAGACAGCTTTGCGATCTTGGTTGTGTGAATGAGGCGAGGCCCTCGAGTTTGTAAGAGCGCTCTGCACGGACACAGGTCCTCTCCGTAATAATCTTAGAACAGCAGATCTGGAAGGGAGCCTCTGGACCATCAAGCCCAGCCCCACTCGAGGATGCCCAGGGCAGATTCGAACTCACAACCTCTGGCTGCGCAGCCTGAGAGCTAAACCCCTGAGCTAATTCATGCTAGCAGAAAGCAACGCAGGACAACCGGGTGCAACTGAAGTGGCTTATATCGGTTCCGCTCAGGGAGTGCACAGAGCGGCCTCCCACCACCCCGGCTTGCACATGATGGGTGTTGTAGTCCAGCCTGGCTCAGGGAAGGCTACTCTAGAGGAAAGCATACTATAGGGGAAAGCGTAGACATTTTTTCTCTCTTACCGGAGAAAATCCTTTATTCACTACGGGGACACACAGCATTTCCCACCTTTATTTTCCCAGTTGCAGGTTTTGCCATAGTGCATCTTTGGGAGAAACCCTGCTTTGTCTGTTTATGTTCGGCCATATAGCTGTAGATCCTTGTAGCCAATTCCCTCTGGAACATGACTGGTTTATTCCTCCAAAACCTAATCTGGAAGGGTGTTACTATTATTTTTTTCTGGAAGTGCAAAGGGCTGTGTGTATGTAATTTTTATGGAAATCCCCATGTTCTTTCTACAGCTGTTCTATTATTTTTCTTCTCCTGCATCTCATGGACTTTCCCGCCTCCTCATTTCTTCTGTGTCCTCTCTCCTATAACGCGGTTTGGGTTCCCCCTCCTTTCAATCAGTATTATATAAATGTAAATACTATGCCTTGGTGTACATAAATAATTTTAGTAACATTTATCCAGGTCTCTGTCTCTTTTTTTTTTGTTTAAAGGATTGTTTAAAAATGGAATTGTGAGCAGAGGGTGTGAAATTGGAGGAATGTGGCTGCTCACCTCTTGCAGCGCAGTCTCGGGCTTCCTACCGGCCACTTTTATTTTCCGCACGTAAGAAGCCGAGCTTGCTAGCAACGTGGACCCAACGGTGGCCAATACGGGTCCAAAAATGCTGTCCATTTTTTTTAAATGTGAAAAAGGAGATTGATGTGTTAGGAATAGGTTGTTATTGCCAAGTCTCGGCACAAACGCTGGATGAACTGACCGTTTCTCTCCTGTTCTTCTCTGCGGTTTGTGACCATTTTCCTCTGCTGTCCGCAAGCTGGAGGTTCCTTTCTTAAGGCCCGGACTCGCACGGCTGCAGAGTGAAGCCGGGGCTTGTCTGCTTTTTCCCCACATAGAAGGGGAACTCTCTTCTTCTCCAACCATCAAAACCCGAATTCCTGCATTTAAAGAAATGCTGGCAACACTAAAGGCTGGGGAGGTGGACAAGAAGCAAAAGGTGGTGGGCCTTTTAAAGAGGAACAGGCGGAGTTCACTGTGAGCTTAGATCTCATTCTCTGATATCGACAGATCCCAGTAACAAAGGTCCGACAGCTCTGTTAAGGCCAGGCCGTCAACTGGAAACAGAAAAGGGAGCCACAGCTAGGACGCTAAACAAGACAATCTCCATTTCTTTCTGTCTGTTCCATCTCAAACTCTGGAATGTCCATATTCAAATACGCGGGAGAACCCGCTTCTCCTTCTAGAATTTCCCAAGAGGGATATTGTTGCAGGAGAGCCATGATGAACCAAGTCAATATTGGCTGCTTTTTCTTTCCTCTTCCTGCTTCCGATCTCTCTCCATCTCTCCGATCCATGAGAAGTCTATTATCATGTTAGGAGAAGAGGTGGGTGGCACAAATGTCTTCTTGCCGCCTCTCCCTGTTGGCCTCCCCTCTTGGCTTTGGGGCTTGGTCGCATCCAGCGGTTGAATCTTCGCTAACACTGCAACGGGAGCGATCTATATAAGACATTGGTGAGGACCTCCGATGAACACCCTTGTGAAATGCCCAAAAGATGCTGGTTTTTTTGGAGGGTTCAAGCCATGTTTCAGCTTCTGAAGGATCATGAAGGCTAGAACATTCCTAGATCTCCTCGCGGCTCACAGAGGTTGGCGACTGTAAAACCAGAAATGGCGGAGATGGAGACTCTCTGTTGGTTTCTTGGGTGTTGATGCATTTGAAGAAGCTCTCAAGGGTCAAAACAAGGAGTGGATTCTTCTGTTGAGCAATCTTTGCTGGTCTCCACTCCGGGTCATTCAAGGAGAGAGAGAGATCGTTACCTGAAAACGAGTGGGACATTGGCCCAAATTATGGTGAGTGGTGGCCAGGATCTCAAGAATTGGCTTGTTCTTCAGTTGGGAAGCTATATGATGTTGCTGAGTTTGATCCTTCCCAACATACACTCTGGCTCATTTTCTCCACCGGCATACACTTCCTATGAGATTATTATTCCGCGGCAGTTGATAGCACGGGCAGGAAAAGCCAAGAAAGATGAACTTTCCTATATCATCACCACTGCAGGAAAGGACTATGTCATTCGACTGAAGCGCAATACAGGCTTCGTTGTTGAAAATCTGCCCATCTTCACGTATGAGGCCAAGGAGAGGCGGGTGGAGAGTCGGCCCCATGTCTCCACCGAATGCTACCACGAAGGGTACGTGGAAGGTGTGGTTGATTCCTTGGTGGCTCTCAGCAATTGCTTTGGCCTGAGGGGGTACCTACAAATCAGAGACAAAAACTATGGGATTGAGCCGTTGCAAAATTCCTCTAGATTTCAACATGTCCTGTACCTCATCCAAAGAGTGGGGGATCTTGGCTTGGAAGACAGAAAGGAAGCTGACAAAACAAAGGTCCAGGCAGAAGAAATGGAGAGACGCCAACGGAGATCCCCGGTCAACGCTCAACCCCACCCAAGCCTTCCCAAATATGTCGAGCTCTATATTGTAGTGGATAACGCCATGTTTCTCTACCAAAAAAGAAGTCCTCAAAAAGTGACCCATTTAGTCATGGATATCGTGAACATGGTGGACGTCAATTTCCGTCAGCTCAACACGCAGCTGGTCCTGATGGGGCTCGAGATCTGGAACAGGGGCAATCGGATCAACGATTCAGACGATCTCGCCACGCTTCTTCACCACTTCAACGAATGGCGGTTGAGCTCTCTGGCCAATCTGACCAGACACGACACCGCCCACTTGTTCATCCGCAGAAATGCCGGCCGAGTCTTTGGGGAGTCTTTCGAAGGGGCCGTCTGCAACCCGGCTCTTTCTGCAGGGGTGGAAGCCTACGTGGGGGACCACCTGGTTGTCTTCTCTGTGGCCGTTTCCCATGAGCTGGGCCACCACATGGGCCTGAAGCAGGACGGACCCAACTGCTTCTGTGGGGCCTACAGAGGTTGCCTCATGAGCTCGTACCACGCCGAGGTCAGCCGGTTCAGTAACTGCAGCACCCACCGGTTCTTAGAACTGAGCCTAGAAGGAGCCTTGGACTGTCTAACCGACGTCCCTCGGAACGTTTTAGTCCCCAAACGCTGCGGCAACGGGGCGCTCGACGTTGGAGAGCAGTGTGATTGCGGCGGTGCGGAACGATGCCGAAGAGACCCATGTTGCAACGCGGACTGCACCTTCAAGCCCCATGCCCTGTGCTCCTCCGGACCTTGCTGTCAGGACTGTCAGTTTCTCGCCAGCGGGCACCTCTGCCGGCCAGAGACAGACCAGTGCGACCTTCCGGAGTATTGCAGCGGCCAGTCTGCGTGGTGCCGGCCCGACGTTTACATGCAAGACGGCACGCCGTGCAACAACCAGAGGTCCTTCTGCTACGCAAAGCGCTGCTGGGATCACGACGCCCTCTGCTCCCAGATCTTCGGAGAAGAGTCTACGGTGGCCCCAAAGAGCTGCTTCCTCGAACTGAACACGGCCGGCAGCCCCTTTGGCAACTGCGGCAGAAGCCACGCGGGGAGGACGTACGTGAAATGCAGGCCGCAAGATGTTCTGTGCGGCCGAGTGCATTGCACCGGGGTCCGATCCGCACCCACCGACATAAAGCATGTAAAAGTCATCCGGGTGCCGATCGGGACCGCTCAGTGCTGGGCTACGGAGTATTCTGGCAAAATCGAGCACTTCGACATCGGAGTCGTTCCGGACGGTGTTGGTTGTGGCCCCAGAAACATCTGCCTCAACCGGAGCTGCGTCTCCACCTCCTTTCTGATGTCCAGGTGCGACCCGGAGGAGAAGTGCGGCAGACGAGGGGTATGTAACAACCGCCACAACTGCCACTGCCACGCTGACTGGGCACCCCCCTTTTGCAACACTCGGGGGACCGGCGGGAGCATCGACGGAGGCTCCCCACTGGCCTCCTGGACCTCGACCTTCTTGAGGCGCACTTTCGGGACGGTGATTCCGATTACCGTGTTGGCAATCGCGGCCATCATGGTGTTCGGCCGAGCGTGCACTGTCTTGCCAGTGTTGAACAGGGTGGTGCAATGGTTGAACAGCGCCAACGCTGGGGGGGGCGGCTCCGTGGTACAGCCACGGGTGCGTAGACTGTGAAATACGCACGGGACCGAGCGTCTTTCTGCTCCTGGCGATAAGGGCCTGGGCGAGGCTGGGTCATGTTCCACGAAGTTGTCCCCTTTAATGCATTACCTGAACAAACACATCTCCCCCCCCCCTGTACACTGTCTGCACAACTAAACAAACAAAAAAACAGGAAAGTTATGAGTCCTCTCTTCGCTCCAAGAAAACATTTAAACTTTCTGTAGCTGCAGGAAAAGAACAGGAGGAAGAAATGGAGGTCATCGCTTGGGATCACGCTCTGTGCCTTGTAAATAAGTTAAATAACTGTTGCGATCAAAGTTTTCTTTTTCTTGTGTTTGCATAGTGTTGAACTTTTAATAAACTTATTTTAATGTATTTTATTTTTTTTAATGCTAGTAGTAGTTCTCTGGGGCCAAGCCAAACAAACTGCGGTTTTAATGCCTCAGAGGATGAGCGCCGTGACCTGACAACGCAAGTTATTCAAGCAATATATTGTTTTAAAGGAGAAGCCGCTACCAACCTGCTCTCTCTCTGTATCTCGTAAGGACTGACTGCCATTAAGCTCAGTGGGAACAGAGAAATGCCTGTTCGTAGTTAACGTTTTTAATACAAAGACGTACGAAACTGTTTTTCGTCACAGTTTCTTTCACACCTGTTAAGAGACAGAAGATGGATATTTTTAGGGTTCAGAAGTTAAAACACCCTGAATGTATAAAAAGTTGCTTTCCCCCCCCTCTGACAGTGTCTTAAAGCTCTCAATCCTTAGGGCTATGCTGGCTAGGGAATTCTGGGCATTGTTGTCTAAAAAAGGTAACTTTTCCAAACTGGCTGTTTTGGACAAGGAAGGAAAGCCTTTTCTCTTCTGCTCGCTCTCTTTCCAGATGCTCCAAAACCGTTTGCCTCTAGCCATTTAATTCTGGTTCCTATAGGTAACTATATTTCTCTCTTGCTCCCAGCCTCTGGTGGCCGAGGGTTAATTCCGTTTATGCATTCTAAGAACGGCCAAATTCACAAAAGTTAGGCTGATCGCAGCGGCAGGGAGGGGGGGGTTGTTCATTTTTCTCGCTGGCTGGTCTGCACGCCATGGAGATCACAAGTCTCCAAAATATTTATAAAGAGGAAGAAAAATTTGGCAACAACTCTGTGGTTGTGTCTCTCGGCTGATTTTGGTTAGCCTAAATTGCAGACCTCCCATGAGATGCGGATTCGGTGACCATCTGTGTTAGATTCCCGCAGCAGGGGGTGACTTTTGGAAAATTCCTCTGTTTGGAAACAACAACGCACAACACAGCTGTGGAGTGACTTGCTTCTAGTACAGCCCCCTCGGCCACTTGCACCCTCAGAAGTTTTGATCCTAAGCCCCATCATCCTTGTTCGCCTGCATCTGTTGCCGGCGGAGAATGGGAGTTGTAGTCAGCGCCTCCGAAAAAGTACTCCGGTTTACACTGTGCCTGATTAGAGCAAACAACAGATTGGTTCTCCGTTACGCCGCCCTGCCTGTTGCTAGCCGTGTTTATTTCTTCGTTGGCATTGATCGTTGTGACTGTTGTCACACGATGAAGTTAAATCTGGGTAACCACCACAAATCCACTTTCTTTTCTTTTTTTAAAGAAGTGCCTTTTTTAAAAAAAAAACATATCCAGTTTAAATCTACTCCAGAAGGAGTGGGGAAACTTTCAACATGAGATGTGCATTGAGTTGGGATGATGATCCCCAGATGTTTTTATTGTGGCAGAGAAGTTCCACATAATCTCAGCCATGCTCTGTCAGGGTCCTTCCAGGTCTGAAAACTTTCTCACATATATTAAACAGTTACAAACTTCAATGAAGCTCTTTTGCCCCCCAGGATTACACCAAAATCCAGTTTTCCCCCATCAAATAAATAACTTTGAGAGTTCCCTTTCATTGCACTCCAGTTAAGAAGATTCTGGTTTTGGGGTTGACCCCACTTTGGGGGAGTGTGGGGAGCTGTTGACCCCGACCTCCATGAACTTTTTGGTGGCTGGATCCGACGTCCGGACGGTGCGACCCACACGAACGGGATCCCAAGGGGCCCTTAGTACATTATAAAAGTTAAAAACGCCTTTGACGCCGACCGTCTGCGGAAGATCCTTCCGTGCGGGGCCTGGCCTGTCGTGGCCCCCCTGGTTCTGAGCACCAGCAGCAGATGAGAAATCTTGTGGAGGGAAGAGGAGTGGAAGCGTCCCAATCGAAGGAACCACGTTCTCTTCCTTTATAAGGCTGCGGAGGCCGACTCCGGCCCTGCCAGGGGCTCGGCTGGGAGGGTGCTGGCGTAGAACCGCTTCTGGGAGCGCAAGAGCGGCGTCTGGGTGTTCACGTCGCGGCAGACCTTGCGCTTCAAGCAACGAGACACGTGCTGGATCCACGCGTAAACGGCGCAGTTTAGGAGACCCTGGGAGGATGCCGTTAGGGCCTAGGAAGAACCAAATAAACATAACATGGGTTGTTTCGTTTTATCTTTCTAAATAAAGAGTGTAGGGTAGTAGTTCAAGCCGGGACATGAAAATGCCATTTTTCAAGACTCGGGGCTGAGCCACAAAGTGGAAAATGTTGGCCCCAAAATTTGTGTCTCTTTCTCTCTTTTATGGGCTCATTAAAAACCTGCAACAAGGCCAGGTTTTAAGTTCTTACTCAGAAATAGACGGTGCAAAATTTGGGAATGACGGAAGAAGCAAAAGGTTTTGAAAACAAACAAACAAACAAACAAACCAGGCAAAAGGTTAAAAAAATTGGCTTGAGTTTTTTTCCAAAATTTGTGTCTCTTTCTCTCTTTTATGGGCTCATTAAAAACCTGCAACAAGGCCAGGTTTTAAGTTCTTACTCAGAAATAGACGGTGCAAAATCTGGGAATGACGGAAGAAGCAAAAGGTTTTGAAAACAAACAAACAAACAAACAAACCAGGCAAAAGGTTAAAAAAATTGGCTTGAGTTTTTTTCTTTTTTGTAAAAATCATTTGTTTACGTGACGGTCCATCAAGTCAACGGTGACTTGGGTTGACCCCCTTTCCTGGGTTTTCCAGGTGGAGAATACACAGAAGGTGGCTTTCCTGTTCCCTTCTTCTGAGCAGGAACGTCCTGGGACTCCCGTGCAGCTTCGAACACAAGGCCACCCAGGAGATGGCACCCGGGGGGGGGGAGAATCGAACTCGCAGCCTGTAGGTTTTCCAGGTGGAGAATACTCAGAAGGTGGCTTTCCCGTTCCCTTCTTCTGAGCAGGAACGTCCTGGGACTCCCGTGCAGCTTCGAACACAAGGCCACCCAGGAGATGGCACCCGGGGGGGGGGAGAATCGAACTCGCAGCCTGTAGCGCTGCAGTTGGAGATCTCAACCCCTGAGATCTTCAGCCACCAGAACTGAATACAGGAAACGGTAATACATCAGGACGGCAAAGGATGGGTCCTTACCTCTAAAACACAAAACACCATGTACACCGTATTGTTCTTCACCTGTGCCAGTTCGATGAGGCCAAGGATAAAGGCTGTGAAAAAAGGGAGACGAGAAAGACATCACGAAATCAAACAATAAAGCTGGATTGCCTTTTTATTAAAACGGCATTGGACATACATACATATATATATGACAAGTGGGTAGGAGAGGACGGCTCCGGTAATAAAGGTTACAAGCCAGAGAAAATATATATGTTTTAAATGACACATCCCGGAATCCTCCCTCCAGCGTTCTCGGACTCCAGATTAAAATAGGTATGTGCCTGCAATATACCTCTATATATCTGTATAAACACTGATGTGTATGCTTTGACATTTATCCAGATATATAATGTAGGAGCCTCTTTATCTGTGGGATCGTTATCCGCTGATTCATTTATCCACGTTTTGAAAGTGTTAAAAACCCTAAATTTAGAAAAATCCTGAAAATATACATTTTTAACAATGAAGGTTACCAGACTTGGCCACAAATGGGAGCCAGAGATTATACTATGCATAGCTATTATAATATGATTTGCTATAATCCGTGTTTTTTAGCATCCGCAGGGGGATTTTGAACCAATCCCCTGAGGATAACAGGTTTCTGTTTTCTTACTATAGATGTGCATTTCCAGAGAATAACTCCCACTGAACTCAACCAAGTTTGCATTTTAGTGGATAAAATATAGGCGGATGCTGCCAAAGATGATACATCGGCTGCCTGTTCCTACCTGGGCCCCAGCAGCAGAGAAACACCACGGGGTACAAAACGACTCCTTGCTCGACCATCTTAATCATGGCCCATTGCCGATCCCCCACATAGCCTGTGGAGATGATGAACCTCTTGTACAAAGCCCGGGCACGGATGAGGAAGACCTGCGGACATCAGAGGGTAAGACAGACCATCGAGACTGGGTAATGGGCTAACCTTCCTTCCTTCCTTCCTTCTATCCATCATCAGCTCCTTCCTTCCCTCCTTCCCTCTGTCTTTAACGGCGTAGTCTACCGCAGTGGTCCCCAACCTTGGGCCTCCAGATGTTCTTGGACTACAACTCCCAGAAGCCTTCACCACCACATCTGCTGGCCAGGATTTCGGAGTTAAAGTCCAAGAACATCTGGAGGTGCAAGGTTGGGAACCACTGGTCTACCGTAAAGGGCTGCAGTAAGGACAAAACAGGATTAGATACACCCAGAGAACTGCAGCTATTTCATCGGTCCAAGTCAAATACTCACTTCCAAGACTTGCTCCCTTTACCTGCCTTTAGCACTTTTAGATTCGCTCAGAAAACTTTCCTGGACTCAGCCCTCGTGCACACGGCCATGCTGGTCTGGGCAATTCTGAACCTTAATCGTCCAGAAAAGTCCAACTTTCAAAGCCATAATCTTGAACCCTGCCAGGAGGTGACCCTGTCTTGGGCTTCTCAGTTCCTAAAACCAACCAACCAACCAAAGACAACCCCCCCACCTCCATTTATGAAATCTGAAGATCTTGAAATCCCTTCGGGCAAATTTCTGCATTTCCTTGTCTCTGATCAAATATTTTTCTGCTCGAAAAACATCGGCGGACAGGCATAAAACTGGCAAATCTCTCTCTCTCTCTCTTTGCAACTGTGGTCCAGAAGAAGGAGCTTTTCCAAGGTCTCTGAAAACTCTAAAGAAAATATACATTTTGCCATAAATCCTCGCCTGTCCGAGAGCCTGCTTCTCCCTGATTCCTTTATTTTCATCAACACGTTGTGTGAACCTTAGAAGTCATTCTTGGGGAAGGGGACGGTGAGGGTCCTGGGCAACAGTTTATAGGGTTGCCATGTAAACCCCACACAGTCTTTTGGGAACCTCGGGCGTTGTGCTCGCTCTTACTCACCAGGATGGCCAGGAAAGTGGCTGCAAAGGAGACCAGGAAAACGATGATGCTGTAGAAAGCGATGGAGGCGCAGTTGGGCATCTTGGGGCCATTGACGTCCGTGCGCATCAGGAGGCAGCTGAGGGATGGAAGGAAGGCGGAAGAGAGGCGGTCAAGCGCAGGCTGACACTCAACCGATCCTGACTGCTGTAAGCAGCCCGACCGGCGGATGCTCTTCCAAAGATTAAACCACAAAGGCATCGCCAGAATCACAACCCCATCCCGCAGGCAGAATCCCACGGGTGTGACGCATTAGGATTGTGTCGGCCGGCCGCGGCTAATTGGAGCTAATTTCCGAGATGCCGGGTGCCGCTGGGTCGCGTGGCCGGTCTCCTGCACCCGATAGCACAACAGAGTTGCGCTCCGGCACCTTGTTAATTAGCCACAATTGGCCACCATATGTGGACACAAACAAGATTCTTGTCCATGTTTTCTAAGCTCTCGTTACAAGGCCATAAGGAACACCAGAGGCAGGGCAGAGCCGGTCCTGCTGTTAGACCGGGGTGAGTTAGATTTAGGATATCTTTAAATAAACCTCAAGGGTTTATCGGAGGTACGGGAGGCTCGGTGCCTCAAAGGGTGTGATCCAGGCTCAGTAACAACCACCCCATCCCTGCAAGCCCCCAGAGGGGTTTTCCAGTTCAACTTACCCATGTTTCCTGGTGATATTCTGGTAACATCCGTAGTGGTTTCCCCCTCCAAAAACAGGGATCATTAATAAGAGAGGAATTACACTGGAAGGGGGGAATAAAAAAAAGACAATGTTTCACATTTCAAGCTTCTTTTTAGTGAAATCAAAGAAATAGCAGTGTTCGGTTTGGAAGCAAAACAGCCCACCAATATCTGGTCATGGTTTTAGGGTCGGCTTCCCCTGTACGAATTGACAGCTTCTGAAAAAGGTGTTGCAATACCCTTTCTAGCCACTGGCCCTGGTGGCGCTCTAAGCACAGCTCTGGGGCCCGGATGCCACAGAAAGAGAGAGAATAAGAAACCAGTAAAAACTCTGCAGCAGGTAGTTTATGTAAAACCAAAGTAAACCCAGTGTCTTAAAAACAGTCTGGCTAGACAATTCGCTTTGCAGCCTTGGATTTCCCTCTACTATCTAAAAGGATATTTTCCCCACTGCCCAACCGGTTGGGTTCCATACTCTTGTGAAAACCTTCGTATCTTTCTAGGGGGCTTCAGAAGAACAGTTCCAAAATACGCAAATACAGGAAGACGCCTTGCATTGAGTTGGCCTTGGTTTCATTTAGCCCAGTATGGTCAACGTGGACCAGCAGCTGCCATGATTTTCCCACATTTCAGGAAGGATCCTTTTCCTAGCGTAAGTTGGCCGTCCCTGGTTGTCTCCCCTGCTGAGGATAAGCGGGGCTTCCAGAATCACAGAAACCACGTGGACCCCTCCCTCGGTAAAAAGCACTCTTTTGAAAACAGTCGAAGGGGAAACTTACCTCGACAAAATGATGGCTATTCGGCCACCACGATTTAAAACCTACAAAAGAGAGAGAAGGGATTAAAAACGTACATGTATTTAATTACCCAGTAGGTTGTTGGTCTTTGAATTCTGGTTCCACTTCCTCTCTTAAACTCAAGAAAAATACCTCCCTCCCTTTCGCACGTTCAAATTCGAATTGCCCCTTTTTTCATTTCCAGCCGGAGAAGGTGAAGCCAAACGACTGACGGTACCCTTCGTGAATTCCAAAACTGCCAAAGCATCGTAGCCATTGATATTCTGGATTAGAGGTAGCCACGTGGGTTGTGTCTGTGAGATATCATGCCAAATCCTAGTTATAAGTCCTGAAGTGAAGGAGACCCTTCTGAATCAATAGGATTGACATTAAGTGCCCATTCAACCAACCTTATTTCTCCCGGGGGGGGGGGATCATCTATTCTGGTGAACTGGATAGAGAGGTCTCTGTATTTCACAAAGACCGGAAAACTTGGAAAATGGATAAGACTCCTGCCACTGTTGTTTCCCCCCTCCCTTTGTTTATAGACATGGTCTTCTTACATATCTGTTTTGTAGTTGAAAAATTAAAAATCTGGGGGAGAAAATGGCACTAGTAGCATTCCCAGACTTAGGAACGCCTAAGGCTTAGAGATGTTTAATTAAACCATATCTATCATTTGGTGCCAGCATTGAAAAGACCGAGATAATAATTTATAGTTTTACGGGGTGCAGCCTGAACATCCAACTGTTCTTGGAGAATGGGAGGGTCCTTTTGAAGTCTCCTCGTTGACAGATTTCTGAGCTGTTTCCCAACGCCGAAAGACGAGATTCGGCAGAAATGCTTGAACACAAACCTACAGCTGGGCTCTGCCTCGTAAAAATGCAGCACGCTAATGGTTAAGGATTTGAATTTGAGGTGCAAATGCATAAAAACACCGCAATTAGTTTATAAATAAGCAGCCCCAGAGGCCAATATTTGGAGCCAAAAAAAACACCAGATTTCTGCAAACGGTATGCAGAAGGTAAATTAAGCACATCAGGGCATGTTTTTAAAATTGGTATGTCTTTCCCCCTCTCTCGTTGAACGACAGAGCCGAGAAATGCCCTCAAATCATTGTCATTCCTCCTCCCTTTTGAGAACGTCCCAGCCTGGCTAGCACATGTTTTTGAGCACACCAAAGGGGCTAGAAACTTTGGTCTTGAATGAAGAATACTGAAATTTTGATCAGGATGTTGAAGACGGCTTTTGGAAGGCTGGTGTTTTCTCTTCAAAATCACCGTTGACCTCTTGGAACAGAAGGCCGGGACGTTGTGGAAGGCAGTGAGAAATCGCCGTACCTCTTTGCCCCTTTGCTTGAAGGGAAACCAGTGGCGCTATCTTCAAAGATGCCACCGAACAAGGAGTCCTTACATGCTTCATCAGAGGGCTAAGGGACGCGATCGGAAAGGTGGCGAGGGCTGATCAGGGCAGAGAACACGTGGTCTTTCTCTCCCCCTTCAAGACGGAGCGAAGCAGGTCCCTGTCTGGCCCTTCCAGGAAGGAAGGCCGGCACAAAGAACCCCTTGTCCCTTCTCAGAAGGTGGGGTCGGACAGCGGCCGATTCTGGGTTTAGCCAGGTGTGAAGGCATCTCCGACGGCCGAGCAGGTGGCGTGTTTGCTCAGCCCGTCCTCCAGGCTCGGCCTCTCTCAGAACCACATCCTTGTCATCGGGCGCTGATGTGGGCTCGGCTCAAGAGTTGTGCAAAAGCCGGTGGCGCCACCCAAGATGACGTGGGTCTGTCCTCGCCCCCTCCTCCCCCAGCCCGTCCCCTCCACTGAGGTTACCTAACATTGTAAACAGGAACCTTTCCTTTTTAAAAAAGAAACCCATCTACAACCCCAGCCAACCTCCCGCCGTCTTCGGGGCAGGACCAGAACTGACCTGCCATCCAACTGTCTTCTGCCCCACAAGAATAGCAGAAACATGTGCTGCTACCTGGCCCAGGTAGGTCAGCTGCCTGGCGTGTCACCGGCGTGAGAGGCAGCAGGGATAATATTCTAGGCCTCCATGCGTGTTAGATTGTTACACAAAAGCAAACATTTTTAATTGCACTCAAACCAACATAGTACGAATTACTACAAATATGGTTTGAGTGCAACAAAACGTGGCTTACATAAACCAACATAGTTGCTGGCTTATATCTCTAAGAGACAACATTTAAGGCTAAAAACAGTGAACATGCAAACGCTTAAAAGGATCAAACAAATGTCATGCAAAAACCTTACATAAACCAACATAGTTGCTGGCTTACATCTCTAAGAGACAACATTTAAAGCTAAAAACAGTGAACATGCCAACGCTTAAAAGGATCAAACAAATGTCACGGAGAAACCAAAAGCAGCATCAAAAATACGTTCAAAACAGTGAGGGGCACAACCATCCATTTAAAAAAACACCCACTCAGGCAGCCGGTCATTAATGGAAAGCTTGCCTGAAGAGAAAGGTCTTTGTCTGCCTGCAGAAGGACAGCAAAGATGAGGACAGGCTAGCTTCCAGTGGGAGGGAGTTCCAGAGTCTCTGGGAGCAGCTGCAAAGAAGAGTCCTCTCCTGTGTCCCCACCCAATGCACCCATGAAAGTGGCTTAAACACCATGGAGGGGGGGCTCGTAAGTCAAAACAACAAACAAACAAACCAATGAACAGCCCAGGTAGCAAGAAACAACCACTTGGTGTTTCTCCATAAAACATCCGGGTGGTTCCAAAGCAACCTTTACCTGTGGTGGCGACGGGCTGTGGAGGGTCTGGAGGTATTTCCCCTTCAAATCCGTGTAAAGGTGCCAGGTGTAGTTGACAGTGTAGAGGAAGGAAGCGACGTAAAATATCTGGAAAAGAGGAAAGGAGAGGTTTGATTTATATATTGCTGTTCCTCCCTGAACGTGCGGGAAGAAAGGTGGGATAGAAGTCTTGCCCATAAAAATAAAGTATAGTACAACACCCCATATTCAAAGGGGATCTGTTCCAGTCGCCCCGCAGATACTGAAAAATGCAGATGATAGCAAACACTAGACACACCCTGGGTTCTTGCTCCCTCTAGTGGCCAGTTCTGGTTACTTCACCTTTAGAGATACTGTATATATTTCGAGGATTTTTCTTTCAATTTTTTTAATATTTTTAGACCGTGGATCAATGAATCAGCGGATACCGATCCTGCGGATAAGGAGATCCTACTGTAATATGTTGACAGAGCTATGTGTTTCATTACCAGTCCCTTGACAGCTTTGTGCAAGCCCTGAATCTTGGTTTAGCCCAAATTTATCCCAGATGTCTGCATCATCATAAACCACAGCCTCTCTCTTTCCATCCTATTCATCTGGAAATTCCACTGAAACCACTCCTTCCCTGGCTTTTGAGAGGCTACCAGCAATTTCCAGATCTTGGTGGGGAAAAAAAACTATTTTTTTTCCCTAAAACTCAAACTAATAGTGAACAGGGTACAGTTGTTCCTCTCTCTCTGTTTTTGGTCCCCAAAAAATGTTGTTTCCCTTCATGTTATCTAAAATTGACCTTCATCATGTTCAAGACATGACACTCCTTCCCGGCAGAATGGCTAGGTTTCCAGATCCCTGCCTCCACAATGGGCTGGCACGATTGGAACGAGGGAGAAAATCTGTAGCAAAATGTTGTTCTGTTGGGCTCCTGTGGAACTCCCAGCCCCATGGTATGTCCCCTCCGCTTGGGTGGGTGGGTTTTCTTTCTTCGGAAGACCAGATCCGTGGAACAGAGGAAGAGCGTTGTCTCCATGACATCTCACGGTGAGCCCACAATAGTTTGGACGGGAGCTTTGTCTCAAAAAGTACGTGGCGTGACGCCGAACGACAGTCCCCGGGGCAGATGCCCCTTGCTCTCGAGTTGTGCTTGTTTTCTCTTCCTGGCTCCCTCTCTGCCCTCCCTTTTAATTATCCACCGCTTTCTCTCCTGTCCATCTCTTGCTCGGCCATTATGCCGGCCAACCCAACTGGAATGTCATGACAAGCATTTCTAGGTCATTTGGATTTAATTGAGGGGAGAGCAGGTGAACCTTATCGTGGTTTGCACGAGTCGGCCGAGCCGGGAAGCCTCCGCTGGACGAGACCAAAGGCTGGCTGCTCGACCTCTAAGGGGCTCTTCTGTCGTGTGTTTTTTTCCCCCCTTTATTTTTCTCCTCCCGGACGTGGGAACTCATTTGGGGGAGAAAGGGGGTGGGTGGGTCTCCTAGCTTGAATTTTCAAGCAAAATAGAATCGGAGGCTTGACGTGGAGTTTGGCAGGACTTCACGAGATTTTTTTTCCTCCCCCTCCTTAACACAAACTCTCGTACAAAATCTAGATTGGATCTTGGACACGGCACTTCGGGGGCCCTGAAAGGTGGCTCATGAACTGGGGATGCTCGCCTTTCCCCTGAAAGCGTGAGCAGCTTTGGAAGACGCCAAGCCAGAACTCTGCTAAACGAGAGAGGAAAATGTATGCAGGACAGATGTTTTCCAAAACACGCCGTTGGAAAAAAAAATGAACCCACATGAACAGGAAGACGAGATTTCCTGGCGTGACCAGTGATACGGCCAGCCCTTCATGGAAATATTCGGAGACTCAGCTGGCCATTTTATTCCTTTGTGTAGGAAACTGTTTATAGACATTGCTGTCTCTCTATAAACATAGGTGGGGAATAATTTCAGGGCAGAGTTCAGGATTTTCCCATTCGGTGGCCTTCTGTGGACCGCGTGATCTCCTAGGTGCGGTCCCCCATCCTGAAAGCTCTTCCCAGGCTTCCTTTGCTGAAAAAAAAACACCAAATTCGCTCTTCTTTTCACTTGGGAAGCAAGAACGGAGAGGATTTTCTCCTCCACGAGGTGCGGGTGGGGGTGTCTGTGGACGGGAGGCAGTGATCCAGAGCCCAAGGAAGACTGGATTTGGCCTCCAGCTCTCCCCTCCACTCTCCCTCGCCCCTCAGCCAATGTGATCACTCTTCGGCCTTCAACTCAACCAGCGGCGTTGACCGGCGCAGCACCTCGAAACCAGGTCACTCGGCAAGATCGGCAAACCAGAGGGACGATGAGGCGACACACATTGTTCCAACCTCTTTCAAGAAGGGGCTCGGAGGAAGCAACCGAAACAAGGAGGATGCGTCCCCGAACCCTTCACCGTGGTCATCCAAGCATAAACGCCGTCTTCATTTTGAGAACGTTGACCAAAAGGGGATGATTTACGGAGGACACCCCTGCTAAGAAGGATTGGACACATACCCCTCTAAAACAGGGTAAAAACAAGCCACACAAAACCATCTGCCGAGGGAAGTAAGGCTGGTCTTTGAGGATGATTTTAGGTGGATAGCTTTTTTTAAAAAAAACTTTTGCTTTGTTTTAAAGAGGTTTGAACACACACAGAGAGAGATACGAGAGTAACCCAATGAAAAGTTCTATAGCAGCTGGGGGAAAAGAACATCACAAAATATCACACCCTGAGTCCCACAGCTCTGTCGGGACGTGAATCTAGGTTACCCCAAGTCCTACTATGATGCACTAACCACTAGGCCGCACTGGCCCCTTGCACCGGCAGGCAGCAACCACCCGAGGCCACGAAACCCTTTTTTTCTCCCATCGTGGGTCCCCAGCCCAATCGCGAGGGTCCCCTCACCTGGGCGGTGGTTTGCACGTTGTAGCAGGCCACATCCTGGCTCAGGAGCTCTTTGCTATACAGGAGGGCTCCGATGAGCCAGCACACCCCCAGCAAGAGATTGGAAAGGCTTAAGTAGAAAAAAGGCCGGACCTGCAAGAGAACCAAGGTGGACAGGTTGCGTCTCGGGGACTTTGGCCTTCATAGTCTTCGGTGGCTGCAAAGGGCCGTTTGTCCCATCCTTGGCTGTCCCCAGATGTTCTTGGACTGCAACTCCCAGAAGCCTTCCCCATTGGCGGCGCTGGCTGGGATTTCTGGGAGTTGCAGTCCAGGAACATCTGGAGACGCCCAACGTTGGGAGCCATTCATCTTCTCTAGATCATCTAGCATCAAAGTCTACTTAGGAGCCCAGGAAGGACGCTAAAGCAGCAGATGGGAAAGGTGGTTAAGAGGCTGATGGGGACTGTAGTCCAATGAAATAACTCTTCCCCAGTGTTCAACGGGAGTGGGAGACGCCAAACAATTTTGCATGGGTTCCTTATGCGAATTTCGACATGGCCGGCGAACTTCGCTCCATTGACTGGTGGACGGTGAGGTCTCCATTTGCCCGCCGGGGAGCTGATCTCCCGCCAAGGCCCCCGGTTCGGGTTTCTTGCCCCACGGAACAAGAGTTCAGGAGCAGGAGCCGTGTGTGAGTCAAAGCGAAGGGAAACCTGCAGCGACTTTGACCAAGCAAGGCGATGATGATTCAGCCACTAGAGTTAAATATTTGTTTTAGGAACAAGGAGGGGACGTGCTTGAAATTTTTAAGAGCCTTCTTGGTGGAAATGGGCGGCCTTATCCTCCTCCTCCTCGAGGTTTCATAAACTCAACTCATGCCCCCTCTCCCCTCCCCAACACACATCACTCCGCTCCTTTCGGCTATTCTCCTAAAGGGAATAATAAAATTAATTCCTTGACCTCTGGTGATCTGGCGGTATTCTGGAACACGGCGTATCCAATCACAGCACTGGATCCGATCACGCTAGGGAAAGAGAAAGCAACACAGGTTGAGCCGAAGGTTGCCAACTTCCCTTCTGGCAGGGCTCCTGTGCTTTGAACCATCGGTTGGCAACCCGAAACGCCGACAGGTGACTTTGTCCCCACAATTCCCCACCACCACCTCCTCCAGATGCTGGGAAACCTTTGCAGCCCAGTTCAAACTTTTGACGCATCGACTGGATGAGAGGTCTACTCATCCATTGACTTTTAAGAAGGCTGGAACGACCCTTTCTCCCAACGGATGCCGGAGTGATGTAAACGCACCACGTCAGGGTCCTTCAAACCTGTCCTGTGGGGGGGGGCACTTCAAACCGAAGGCACCGCGTTCTTGAGACCGGTACAAATAATTCACCACTTCTCAACCTTCCGACTTCCCTCGGATCGTCCCTCTCTCTAACTCTGGGACAAAATGTCCATTTTCAGAGGGATCGCCGTGCGCCATCTGTTTCCACCGCCATGAAAATCACACAAAAGATACATCTATCTATATATATTTCCCTTGGCAATTTAAACACCAGGAAGTTTTATCTGGCACCAGGCTGTGTAGATTACAGCCAACTTTTTTCTGAGGCCACAATGTATTCTTATCACTATTTATTTATTTTTAATTAAACGTACCGCCCTGCCACGGGGCCTTTAGAGTATTTGAAAAAAATAAAATAAATCAGAGTCCAACCCTGCTTTAAGGCACCATGTGATCTTCACACATCGGATGAAATGATTTACAGCCTGCATCTCCCTATTCTCCTCCTCCCCCTCCGGGGTGCCCTGGGGCTGTGCAAGCTTGCCCAAGGTTACCCAGGCTGGCTCTTTTTTTTAATGGAGGCACAGTGGGGGAGAGAGGGATTTGAACCCCCAAGCTAGTGACCTCAACCCCTGGGCTATCCAGCCAGCAACATCCTGGTGCACCAAAATTCAGCAGACAGCAAAATCTAGAGGTGCTTCTTTGGATCAATGTTGGGGGGGGGAATGCAAGGTACCGTTGCCATGCCCGATGGGTGACTGTTGCTGAAATTATATGATTTATTTCCTTTTCAGAGGGGGAAACCACATTTTCCTCCTCTCTTTTCTGGAGGGGCCGGGCACCCCCATGNNNGGGTGACTGTTGCTGAAATTATATGATTTATTTCCTTTTCAGAGGGGGAAACCACATTTTCCTCCTCTCTTTTCTGGAGGGGCCGGAAAAGTCACGGTGGAGGGGGGCAGGAGACGATGCCCACTGCTCCAGACACCCTAATACTGTAGTCAATTTTTAAAAGATGAACAAGTTTGAGAGACAGTGTATAAGAAGGCCGGCGATGGAGGTTCCCGATTGTCTACGATGGACCCTTTGTACTGGATTTTGTACCCCAACCCCACCTGTGCGGTTGTAGGTCTCTCCTGCCTGCCACTCCTTAAGGGCGTCAAAAGTACAGATAATTTATTTCTGTTTCTCTTTCTATCCGCAGCTCTGTTGGAGCAGAGGGAAAGCAAAAGATCACAATTCCACAGGGGGGATAAAGTAATTCACAAATTTAAAAGCCCGAAAGCAAACATTACAGGACTTTTCTTGCACCTGGAAGGCGCTCGGGATCACGGCCAAGAACGGCACCAGAGGTTTGTGGTGGGACACACCTCTGAACCGGTTTTGTGCGCTTCGGGTTTATTTACCCTTCTGCCCAAAGGTGACTCCCGGCGGGAATTACCCCGGATGCCCGTCCTCCAACGATGCCATCTCAAAAGGGCAGAAAGGAGACCCCTTCCTGCTCCCACCCCACACTCCCAGCGGAATGACCCCCCCACCGCACCCCGAAATCTAGAAAGCGGAGCCTCAGCGCTCTGCGGCTACTTTGGGAGACCATCCTCTTTACCCCCAAAGGTTTTTCTGCCCTACCTGAGGGCCGCCGTGACAGCTTGCATCCAGTGGACGACGGCGTAAAACTGGGGAAAGAGGGAGGAAAAGAAGACGCGTTACTGGCCACGGTCTGCTCGCAAAGGAACAGCTTCCGCTCCCCCTTGCAGAGCTGGCCAAGCCTTCGAGTGGGTCCCCCCGGAGGGCATCTAGCCCACCTCTCCAGCCTCTTGCAAATGCAAGGCCTGGGACACAACGGGTTGCAAGGGTTTAAGGCAGAGGCACCTCCGAGAGGTTATTAAAAAAATAAAATAAAATAAATTTGTAACTCTGAAAACTCCTCTAGCCACATGGCAATGACAGTTGGGGGATGATGGGCCTTGAAGTCCAAACAAAAGTGTTGAAAACAAGGTAGCAAAAACCCATCTTGTGGAAGGATGTTCCACAGTTTAATGATGTGCCAAAGTTTTTCCCCCCATTAGTCAGTTTTCTCCTGAACCACCCCCAGCTTTTAATTCAACAACCCCCTTGGGTGCTGGAGTTTTGAGGAAAAAAAGGCATATTTTGGTCTCTGTTTACATTTTCCATGATAGGACAGTTCAATGCACTTTCAGATTGCTTTTTAATGGCCTACACCCGCATGCCTTGGACCACCCCCCTTGCAGAGGAAACAGGGTGGAAGAAGAGTCCTGGACCTTTCCACCTTGAGGACTAGCAGCTTACTGCTGGTGCGGACACCAAGCGGTGGGAAAGGTCTTTTTGAAAGCGAAAGGGACCTTTTCAGGTGAGGGAGAATAACTTTTGAGGTACCTTTCCACACTTCCTCGGCTTTCTCCTTCCCCCTCACAAAAGGGGTGCTCCCTCCCGGGGAGACGGAAGGAGAGCCCAAAAAAGATGGAATTGAGGGATGAAGAAGGTGAAAAAAGCAACAAAACAAAAAACAGGCGAGGGAGGGAAGGAAGCAAGGAAGGAAGGAAGGGGGAAAAGGGGGAAATGCCAAAGAAAGGCAGGAAAGACAGGAGGAAGGAAGGAAAGGGGAGAAGAAAAGGAAGCAGCAGGAAAAGAAAGCAGGAAAAAGGCAAAACTCGTAGAGAAGGGGGATTCCCAGCGGGATGTAGTGCATCCAGTGAGGGACTTTGGACTCCAGAGACCTGGGTTCAAAACCCGGCTCAACCATAGAAGCTCACTGGACATATGTGTGTGGAATTGGGAAAAACACTCCTTAAATATTTCTTCATTTAAAATATTTTTCACTCTGCTTTTCTCCTTGAAAAGCACCAGAGGCAGCTTATAAACCTGGAAGACAAGTATCTCACGAGAAAATGCT